TAATAATAATAAAATACACAATTCAAGTATAATAATTGTAATAGAAAGGAAAATTATAATAGGTGACGAACCTATATAAAATATATTATCGATAGCGTATATAGCTTATTTTTATTTTTTTGAAAGAGCTTAGTCGTGGGTTATTAAATGTTATCACTCTTTAGGGTTCTATGGTTTCTAAGGTAAGTTTTTGTATTTTTTGTATTTTTAGATTTTTTATTGATTTGATTAATAATAATAATTTTCTTCTCGTTCTTCATATTCTATTTTCTTTGAGATTTTTTTTCATGTAAAAGGAAAAAAGGTATTCTTCAAAAACTGTAAAATTTATGGAATTGTGATTTTATATTTGGGATGGACTTGCTATGTTTCAAGATTGCAAGATATATGTACGATTACCAAATACTACTATTACCATCACCGCACAATCTAAAGAATCACCAAGAAAACATAGTGGATTCTCCTTTAAAATTGTAGCGTAATGGCCTCTCCTGAACCCGGACTAAGAAAAGATCGTAACTTTGAAGTTTATCTTGGCCGACCTTAGTGGAGAGACTACTCAACTGTAATTTTCATGCATCATTTTTGGATTCTATGGTTAATCAAAGAGATGGTCGCCATGGTCACCAGATCAACCTCTAAATTTATTATTCTAGAGTTTAACAATAGAGACCCAGGAGCTGATATTTCTAGAGGAATCAAATGGTAGGTCAAATGGATTATTTATTACATGGTAACTTGGCCATTTGATTCTTCTACTCCTGGCCTCTATTGTTAAAATCTAAATAGAATAATAAGTTTAAAAGTTGATCTAACGTGAGCACGGCGACCATCACTTTGATTGACCATAGAATCCAAAAAATTACGGCATGAAAATTACAGTTGAATATAGTCTCTCCAAGGCCGATCAAGATAAACTTCAAAGTAATAATCTAATTTTCTTAGCTTGAGTTCAAGATAAGCCATTAGGCTACAATTTTGAAAGTGGGAACCCACTATGTTTAGTTACTGATTCTTCAGATTGTGCGGGGGTGGTAATAGTAGTATTCGATAATCATGCATATATCTTGCAATTTTGAAACACAGCGAGGTCATCTCCAAATATAAAATTACAGTTTCATAGATTTCATAGTCTTTGAAGAATACCTTTTTTCCTTTTTTTCATAAAAGAAATCTCAAAAAGAATAAAATATGAACGGGAAGAAAATTATTACTATTAATCGAATCAATAAAAAAAATAATCTAAAAAATAATTACAAAAACTTACCTTAGAAACCATTATAGAAACCAGAAAGAGTGATAACATTAATAACCCACAACTAAGCTCTTTCAAAATAAATAAATAACCCACAACTAACTAAGAATTTGGGTTAACTGACCCATAGTTATTGATCAACCTCTTAAAAAAATTAATAATAGTACTAATAAAATAAATAGTGGTTATTTTAAAGTGGGCAGAAATGGAACAAAAAAAAAAAAAAGAAAAAGAACTGTGAGACTCACACAAAGTCTTGTTTGACGATGCTGTGAAAATCAAAAGATTAAAATCTGGTAAGCTTTTTACAATGAAAAATCATGAAAAAGTTGAAGCTAAAAATAATAAACTAATACATAGCTTTTAAAAGAACAAAAAAGAAAAAATCATGGATTCAAGTTGAATTGAAAATGAAGAAGGAAGAGATGGAATGGTGTGAAAAGAGAAGAAAAGGGCATACAATATATATAGGACAACAATTCCACCTACCAACTCGACAAGTTGGTGGAAATCATAAAGAGAGAGATTAGTATTTAATTAGTAATTAGTGAGGTTGTTGAGGGCTGTCAAATTTTGATTATTTTTTTTAATTATCTTTTTTTTTCTTTAGTATTTATTACTTTCTTAAAAATGCAGTTTAGGTTGATCTATATAACAAAATAAAGAGACCGATCATAAGGTTTATAAACTTAATTTTCAAAAATATAAAATCAAAACGAGATGATTGTCAAATGGAGTCTTCAATTTTAGTTTTAAAAATTATGTCTACTTCTAGAGTAAGTTTTTCAACGTATTTGAATTCTTAATTATATTTTAAAAATAAAAACTTGTTAAAAACTATTCGTTCTTAACGAATATATAACAGAACAAAGAAATATACCAATGAAAATAATATTTTATAAGCTAAATTTTTAAAGACAAAATATTTATAAAGGGGCGAGAAAACATAAGAGCTAATTTTTCGACTCGTGAAGTTATAAATTTTCATCATGAAAATAGATAATTGACTTTTTTTCCCTTAATTTTTAATCACTCAAGCTTTACTTGTATTGTAAAATAGTAAATATCACTTCTGTTGAGGCTCAATAAATTTGAATATATATATTTTAAAAGATCGATAATTAAGTTTAAATATTTTTGCCAAAAACTTGTTAGCCATCACTATCAAAACTAGAAATGTATGTAAAGATAAAACTTTGGCAGCTCCATCACAAGCATGGATATGCCTACTTTTAATTCTTATCACAAATTTTGTTGTATTGTCAACCACCACCACTGATACAAATTAATGGTATAGGTAAAAAAAATAAAAATATGATTAAAGTTTTGGTATTTTTATTTGGTTTTTCAAACATGACAGCCTTGCAATTTCCCAAATTTCCTTCTTTGGGTTATCGTGTAACCCTCATATTTCTACACCAGATTGCAAGCAATTTCAGTGCTTCTTTGTTCTTGTAAAATTTGTCTGAATCCTCTCATAATTTTCCCATTCATTCGTTATCTTTGATCTCGCCCTCTTAAATAGTACCGCATCCCATTCTTTTAAAGTGCGAGAAGGGTTTAAAATTTCATCTTCAAAATATAAGTCGCCTAACAAAAATTTTATAATATATGAAAAAAAAGTTGGTTCTGTAATTGAATTGGTTTTATGATTATTTTGTATTTTTTTTAGTACAATATGTTGGAAAGTGGATTCGAACTTACAACCTCTCAATTGGAGGTACATGTTGTGTCATGTGATATGATAGAGATAATAACATAGACATAATATTATAGATTACTTGCAAAAGAAATTGAAGAGAAAAAAAAAAGGTTAAAATGCCTTCTTTTAGTAGAATATTAAAATGAGTTTAATGATTAGAAATCCAGTAAAAAAAAATTAAAATGAAATCTTACACCCAAATTTTGAAGATCAAAAGTCCAAAAATCTTCAACACACTCCCTCATTTATCATTAAGTTAATAGAAATTCTTAAAAAAACGACTTTAGGAAAAGATTCGAATTTTTTTCAAATGTCAAGTATAGTTTTCATCATTCAAAATAGCTATTTAAAAAAATCCGAGAAACCATTTCATTGAAGATAAGTCAGGAGAAAAAGAAAATTTTTTGCCAGATTTTATTATATTGTCTTTTTACATATTTATCTCTCAAATCTAAAAATTTACACAATTGTCTTTTAATTTAAATTTGCACACACATAATAAATAGGTTTTGGGCATAACTCTAATTGGGTTTGTAAATAAAGTTATAATTTTTTTCAAAACGTTTAATTTAAATTTGTTTTTTTAAGAAAAAAAAAACATTTGATTCAAATATAAACTCAGAATATGTAATCGATCATCAAATTATAAATATTTAGATATTTAGATATCATAAAGTTACCGATTTATTAATATTTTCTGAAATTTTGAATTTTTTTTTTTCATTTGCTTTACTTATTCCTTTTCCAGATTCAACATTTTGGCTATGGAACCTAAACAAATTCCTCCAATCCTTCAAATCCACCAGCATTTTTTATGTATGCCATTTTGGTGCCATTATGATAAGATAGAGATAATAATATAATAGACATAATATTATACATTATTTGCATAGAAATTAAAGGAAAAAAAGGATTAAAATGAGGCTAATGGTTATTAGAAAGAAAAGTAAAAGAAATTAAAATGAAATCTTACAAGTTACAACCAAATTAAAGTAGAACACTTCATCAATTAAGTCCATGCATTTTATTTCAACGAATACTATTCATATAAAATATATGTTCTGTATTGAACAAAGACCTATTTTTTATATTACGGAATACATGCAGCTACTTTCTTACATTGTATAAGATTTGCCGTCCCCATTGAAAGTGCCAAAAGTTTACGTAAGGGAAGGTAATGAGCCAACCAAGATGGCGGTTCTGGCGTAGACTCAAAATCATCTTCACATGCTACGATCTTATCAAACGCATCACTCAAAATCAAACCCAAATCATCTTTGTCGTTCTTTAACAAAGCTTCTAACGATGATTTCAGAATATCTAGGCCCCGTTCATATTGCTCTACGCATACGTTAAAAGTGTACCGTATATCTTTGTCTAAATCGGACCTTTTGAGCTGCTCCATAAGATACAAATGATTATCAGTGGCATTATCGATAGAATGATTTATAAATATGGCTAGAAGTCCTGATAAGTTTAGTTTCAAGTCTTGGTGAGGATCTGAATCTATCACGTCGATGCATACTTTGATGAACTCCTCCTCAAATTTGTTGCATGTGTTGTTAACGAAACTATTCGCCACTGCAGTTTGATAGGTTAGAGAAATGGGACATAAACTGCTAAAAAAAAAAGTAAAAGAAGGATACCGGAGAGTTTTTCCACTCTCATCATGTTGCTCTAATTGGTTTGGCTCTCTTTTTTCTTTTCAGTAAAGTGTGTAGCCCTTATTAGAGGTATATAGTGATATATATTTATATACTGAAAAAACTATACTGATGCTTCCTCTCAAGATTTAATTCTGGAAAGTTAATAATGACATTTACAAAAAAAAGAGACCTAATTAATACTTTAAAACAAAATTTGAATTTGAATCAATACGTTACTTTTTTTTTTTAATACAGAGGTAATATACGTTAATATAGAAACGTGTTTATTGCCTAATGACCATAAATAGTTTTTGTGTAAATTTAAATTTGTTGGTGTCTAGAATTAAAAAAAAAAATACAATTCAGGTATAATAATTATAATAAAATGAATTTATAATAGGTGGCAAACCTAATTCCCATATATATTTCAAAATTATTACATAGAGAAATAGTCTGTAAATACGGCAAATCTTTGTCTTATACAGCAATGATATACTATATTTTTTTTAGATGGATGAGGTATATCACTGATATATTAATATAAACTACATTATTATTAACATATCATTTATGTGACAGTATATATAATTTGTTTTAGAATATATTTAAAAGAAAATATATATGCTATCGCCAACCTGAGTTTAATTAGCTCAGCGGTAATTGACATATGTCTCTGATCAAGAGGTCACGAGTTATATACAAATATAAAATATATCACTAAAATACTATTTTATTTAGGGTGATATATTCCTAGTATATCACTAAATTATTATATTAAATGTTAATTGAAGGAGGAAAAAACTCTTGTATATTCATCTCAGTAAAATGTAAAAGGATTTATTAGGTATTTATACACGTGTAAAGACTAAGCTTAATAACACAAAGCTTTAACGAGAAGGCTGACAAATTAACCAATAACAAAACAAAGTAATCAAATAACTAGCTCCTATAAACAATTATTTATGCCAGATATGCCATTAATACAAAATCCCTTATGATAAACAAAAATTAAGTTATTGCATAAATTTATAAGGAAAATGATTTACTTATTTAAGAAAATGGGATTTCTTGTTTATTTGATGTCATTGGAAACTTTTTCCAATTTTATCAATTAAGATTTGTTATTTCTTTGGATGAAGTTTTAATGACTAATGAGAAATTCAAGTGATATTCAAACCCATGAAAAAGAAGTTTTTTTTTTTTTTTTTTAGGTGAACCATGAAAAAAGAAGTTATAAATTACACCAGAAGAGATCAACTTGATTGTATTTTATATATTTACTTTTTATTTAATTAATCCAGATGCATAAAATCAGATTAGGCTAAAGAACGTGTTGTATTTCTTCATACTTAGATCACTTCATTTATAAACTGTATAGTTCTCTATCAATCACACATTTTTTAGAACTTTGAAATAAGAAGAAATAATAAATTGAAGATAACATTATTCAACGAAGTAATTGGAATTGTTCGTATTTATTTCAAGAAATACATAGTCGCACATTAAGCTACAGACTAGGTCTAAATGGTACATTAGTTTCCGGCAACCATGTAGTTCCATCTATAAAGTCCTTCACCGTATACTTTGTAGCTTCTAGTGGATTATTTATTAAATGATACCCTTGCCATTTGATTCTCTTAGATATATCAGCTCCTGGTCCTCTATTGTTAAATTCTGCATAGAATAATAAGTTTAGAGGGCTCCCCAACGACCACTCTAACCATCCTTTTGGATTGACCACCGTGTCCAAAAATGATTGCATGAAAATTACAGTTGAATAATCTCTGGAAGGCCGACCAAGATAAACATCAAAGTTTTGATCTTTTCTTGGCCCGAGTTCAGGAGAAGTTGTTACACTGCAATTTTGAAATGAGAACCCACTATGTTCGCTTTCTAATTCTTTAGATTGTGCAGTAATTGTAACAGTAGTATTTGATAATCCGACATATATCTTGCAATCCTGAAACATTGCAAGTCCATTCCCAAATATAAAATCCACGGTTCCGTAAATGTCAGTCTTTGAAGAATACCTTATCTCCTCTTACATAAAGCGTGTCTTGAAACCCAAGAAATATACAGTTGTAATAAACTGTTTGGTGGGCATCATTCAAAAGAGCAACGGCTTGGCCATTCTCAGGTCCAGCAGAATTTTTGAACGTTATGGACTTTGCCATAAAGTTTCTACCCTTTACATCTACCAAGAAGAAACATTGAAAATGTTTCAGAATTTCACATATTATATGGAGAAAAATGATAGGAGAAGGAGAAGAAAAAAGAAAATGGGTAGCTCCAAAACTTACTGAACGTGGCGGAGTGGAAAGTTTTAAATCCAATGCGGTTGCTCCGATTATCAACAATAATAGTGGTTGATGCATCATCCCCAATAAGAGCCACAAATGTTTTGGTGGATGGAATTTCAACGTGTTCATTGTAAGTACCAGCCATCACATGAATGTAAAATCGTGTGATGCTATTATCAGGAGCCGCCGCTATAGCATCCTTGATTGTTTTATAATCACCCGATCCATCTAATGACACCGTAGCATTAAAGACAGTATTACCATGACCGACCACAAAGAAATTCATGCACGAGAGGGCAACAAAAACAGCAACAAATTGGAAGACTACCATCTTTAAAATCCTCGAAATCAAAACAAAGAAGAACCAAAATGACTAAGAAAAACCAAATTTAAAGAGATGAGCAGAGGGCTGGGAGGAAGTTAATTAAAGCTCTCTAATATTGCAAGAACACAAGGAATTAAAAGCTGTGCAGAAAGCTTGGTGATTTTCTTGGCCGATGATGGAAACCAATATTTATACAAAGGGAAGGGAAGCCATGGAAGTTGCAGCTTCCACGAACCAGTTCATGTGTGGAAACACAAACTAAAGGTAATATTCTTTTTTATGGGTTTTTATGGAATTGAGTGTTGTTCAACTTATAAACCCTAGCTAGGACTGAGGCTTCTTTAACTATCAAAACTGCAATATGTAAAAATGGAGAAATTAGAATAAGTACATAATAAACGCATATAAAATAATTTAACCCTCAATTCTTTTTTTTTTCTCTTTTTATTTTTATTTTTGTATATACACATATTACAATATAATGTTTTCATTTTAAATAATAGTATATGTTACAGAACTAGTTTTAATTAATCATATTATTAAAAATGTTTGATGGAAGGTTATATGGGAGAAATGTGGAATAAAAAATGATTTTCTTTTGCAAATCTGATTTTCCAAATAAGCATGGTAAATAGATAAAGGGATGAACTACTAAAGTGTATTCTTATTGATATGATTGTGTAGGAATGAGTAAAAATAATTAAATATATATAACGATTTGTGAAAGTTAGAACAAAAATGGTAAAAATAATTAAGAATAAAACATAAAGAGAATAAGATTATTTTAATTAATAAAATCAATAAAAAAAATCTCCGAAAAGAATTAAAAAATTACCTCATAAACCATAGAAACCCTAAAATACAATGATAACACTAATAACCCATAATTAAACAAAATTTTGGGTTAAGTGAGCCATAATTATTAGTAAACCCTAACTCATATGATCAACATCTTCATAATTGAAATGTGCTATGTGCTATATATCTACATATTATTATTAAATAATGATGTAATATTTTGCTATTTAACATAGACCCAATCCATATTTACAAAGAATCTTCCTTAGTCTCAATTCTAATTGGTGAGCATTTTTAGAATAGAAAAGAACATGAATATATGAAGATATTTTCTACACATAGAATCTCTAGTTTCCCACCTTACCCATCTAGCCAAGTCTAGGGTTTTTTTTCTTTTTCTTTTTTCTTTTTGAATGAAAACTGCAAAATAAAGATATAAAGTAATTAAGGAAATACCCTCAATCATAATCACTTGCTACACAATTTGTTCAAAAATTAAGGAGAAGTTTAGGTAAGTTAGTGTTTTAATTGGAAAATGAAAGTGCTTGTCAGTTATTTTAATTTCAAAAAACACTCAAAGTTGATAGAGAAGACCGCTAATATGTATATTAAATCGTCTCCTTTTTCGTTCTATCATAATTATCAATTAGATTACATCTAGTAAATGATCAAGTAAAAGAGGTGAATTAAGGTTGAATTATTACTAAACAACAATGAATTTATTAACATAAATTATTTGTACAAATTAAAAGGGAGCTCGAGAGCATGATCAGAATCAAAAAAATAATAATAATAATAACTGTAATAATTTGTCCATTTACTCTATTTATGCCTTTAAAGGAAAAATGCAAGTAGGTGTTATTAATTGATGAGTTATTTTGATTCAAGAAATTCCCTGGTTAGAAACAAGATAATTGAAGGGAAAAAGAAAAAAAAAAGTCATATCTCAGAAATTGGTGATATTGGTTTTTTTTTTTTTCTCCTTTCAATATAACTTCTCCCAGTTTCAAAAACCTTGCTTTTCTATAACATCTATTGAAATGAGAAACAAATTAAAATAATCTTGTATTAATTAAGAAATTCAAAGTTAGTCACAAATCTCTTCATTATGTATTTATTATGAGAAAGAATATTAAATGTTGCCCGTTGTTTTTTATTTCTTAACATTTTTGCTCTCCTAAAAACCTTAAATATAGACAACAACACTTTTTTTTAGCTACCTCAGCAAAATAGACCAATTTTGATTCTCCTTTGGCCAAAAAAATTACCATTGATCTACTCCTTTTTCTTCTAAGAATGTTCAGTTCCTCCAAAAATACTTTTTAACTCAGCAATTAAACTTTCTAGTAGAGTTTAGGCTAGGTTTAGAGTTTCTGGTTATTTTTTTCCTAAGATATGTTTTTCAACCTTCTAAAATTGGGTTATCATAATGGTCACAACTCATATGACATATGACATGATACTGTTCAGACTACTTTCGTGACTTTGAACTTCTAATTAAACTTACACAATGCTTCATTATTTTTTTAAAACTAGGTTAATTATTTATCAAATGAACTATACTTCTACGAGAAAATCTTAAAAAAATGACGTTTTAAAAACAATGTTTATTATTATAATTATTGTTTTCTGTAGATTTTGTCAAACCCCAATTATTGAGATTTTCTAATATCTAGATAGAACAAATAGCTAGGGTTTGGTAACCCAAACATTTTTGGATGGTAAAGAAATATCATTTCTCTAACTTAAAAACTTTTATTTAGCTTTCTTTTAATTGTAGGTATGTTTCTCACCTACTTTCCCCTTGAATAAAATGGTTCCTCTTAGAAAAAATATTTATCGGTTAATCGTGTTGCGTGCACAAAAAAACAACCCATTTTAACAATTTTTGCAGCTTGATCAATGATTCGTATTTAATATCATTAAAATCATAATTAATTGAGTCAATGAACATCTATTCAATATTAACAAATTAATTAACAGGATATAGAGACGTTTTTAGTCATCATTTTCAATAGCTTTATTTTTTCCTTTCCACGGATTGAGAAGCCCAAAGCCCATCGGGGGGCATAAAAGACCTTTCAACCCCACCTTTGTTTCACTTGTTAGTTTGACCATTTGAAAATTCGGGGTTTCATTTAAAATGCTTTATAGCACCATGCATTTGTAGAAGAACACTGCCATAAATAGAGAACAATATCAGCATAATAAATGATCTTCACAAATAAGGATCATATGTTTACTCATTTTGTACATATTTTATGTTTCTCGTAACGTTTTTGAAGAAAAGTAAAAAAAAAAAGAGATAAAAACTAAAGTCATTTTCTATTTTTGAAAATGCCAATTAAAGTAGTTTTGAATTCTGATATTAAAAAAAAAATGTTAGAAGTTTTAGGTGCATTTGATGGGTGATCAGAAAATTAAAATATAAAAAGATTAAAAAATACGCAAAATTTGTATTATTTATTTTCAATGTTTTCATATATATGTTCGGTAACAGATATAGTAATTAAATCTCAATTTAAAAAATTGTTTAACGTGTGTTTAGTAATATATTTGTAAATTAGTAATAGTAACCAACAAAATATTTAGTTTAATTTAAAATAACATTATTAACATTTTTGTTATGAAGTTTGTATAATTATTATTTTATAACATTATATAATTTATAATATATTATATTTAACATGTTTTAATTTTAACACATATAATAAAAATTTATAACATGAAATAATATATTTATTAAAAATATAATCTTTTTTCAATGTGATTAAATTTCTACTAGACCATACAAAATTTAAAAAATAATCTGTCGAAGAACACGCATGTCATGAATCGGCAACCAAATATTTGCATTAATTACTTTTATAATATATGTTCATTGGGCTCGGGCTTGGGCTTGGGCTTCTCCAATATTGAAAAGAGCAAAAGATAAAATTAATTGAAAATAATTAAAAAAAAAAGAGAGGACTTTAACTTGAGATAATTCACATATTAGAACTTTGACATTTTCCCAATAAATCATATCCATCCACACTCCCATACACTTGTTATCTGTACAATTTTGTAGAAGAACGGGAACCACACAAATGCTAATAAATTACTTGAAACATCTTCATGAATCACCTTCTTTAATTTATGTCCTGCTTCGAAAAGTATATATAAAATTTTGTATTTTCAATTTCTCGAATCCTAAAAAATAAAGATTTTTCTTTTCAAAATCGTGACTTATACTAATGGATCTTTAGAATCGAAGCTCGTTGTGTAGATTTAACAATACTGTGACCGCCGTAAGACTCCAACTTGAGACTTCAAAGTAAGTGGTAGCTCAAAAACTCAAATGCTTGCTATTGTGTCATCTTCAAGGGACTCGAAAAATAATTTTATAGCTTTGTCCCGATATATAATAATAAGAAAATGAGTATATGAATTTAGAAGTATGATTAACATCTCTTTAAGGAGTACCCAAGATATTTTAAATTCTAAAAATTACTATATGCTTTCCTATTTTTATATATAGTGATATTATTCACTTCAAAATTTGAACTCGAATGCTACTAAACTTTACCTAAAAATATCTTGCATCGATAGTGTTGTTATAGTCATATATAAATATCTTTCATCATTTCTAATCAGATGGTCACAAATCATACAAGCAAGTTTTTCGTCATATGAATATGATATTTTTATTTGAATAGATATGCCCCAACCCAAGTGACATCAGATTGTCCGAAAATTTATTTGTTCAAATCAAAATCATTTCATTCACTTATAGCTCCACTTCGAACTTAATAACTTAATCTTATTTCCAACCCCCTCCAATTAAATTACCTTTTCATTCACCGCTTGTGTTAGGCCAAATAGGGGTGGGTCGATTGTAGGCCTCTCAAACACGTGTTTTTCTTTTCTAATACAACATGTAGGGTGGGGATTCGAATTCGTGACCTTTTGGTCTCTTGAGCTATGTTCGGTTTGACAATTTTGGTTTGACAATTTTGAAACACATGTTATTATATACTAATTAAAATAATTAACAAAAGTTCCGGTTGGTGCGATGGAGCTTGTGCCTCATCCCTTATATATTATTAAAAAATATAAATATTTAAAATCATTTAAAAATATATAAATATATAAATATGTCAACTGTTTTTAAGAAAATAAAAGATATATATTAGTGAAATATTCAAGCCATGATTTTCTAAAAGTAAGATTGTTCTTGATATCATCCAAGTTTTTTTAATCTAATAGAAATTCTTTTCCTATTTATAAATATGCATTTATCTTTTCTTTGGTCTAATTGTTATTGAATTTTTTTTCAATTTATACATGAGTATTACATATAGGTAATATTTTATTATAAATTATCGATATCTTTTTTCTTCCCTATAAATAATCAAATCTAAGTCTAAAAAAGTCGATGATTTAAATATTAATTGTCTAAAGTACATTTTTTTTTTCAAATTCCTAAACAAAATTATTTAATCCGCCCTCCAACCAGGGAATTTTTTTAACATTTTCTAGCAATGGGTAAAACAAAAAAAAAAAAAAAACTACTGAGGTGACAAATTTTGAACTCTTTACAATCAAAGATGAAAAAAGTTCAAAATGGAAACTGGGTAAGTTTGATATTTGCAACTTAAGCTAAAAAACTTCCAACAAACTCAAAATTTGTCCCAAATCTCACTCAATTATTCAAAGTCAATTAAACTCAATGAATTAGAAAAAGCGACCCAAGATTTCATTGAACCTAGCTTTAAGATAAAACGACAGCGTTTGGTTTCAACACTATGCTAGATATTAAACTGCACATGGCACTGGGGATTGTGACATAATGAAAACCATGGATCCAAGTGTCTAATTTTTATTTTTATTTTTTTTATGTGGAAAGAACAACGCCAACTAGGCAGCAAAATGGAGAAGAAAAAATGGCCGTTTTAAGGAATCAGAAGAACAGCGACAAATCATTAACGGCCCCATCAGCGTGGCTGGTACCGATAAATCATGTTCGACAAAATTTTACTGTCTAACTTTTTACGTATATGCATAAATTTTCAACTTAAAATTATTTTATTGTTTGAAAAGTTTCGATTTAACCCTCATATTCAAACTTTTTCCAATTATGATGCTTGCATATGAGTTAATTAAGTATAAATTTAAAGGGTACATTAAGTCACCTTAAAAGAAGAGAGTCGGAAATTTTTACAGCTTTTACAAATTTTGACAGAGACGTTAGCAAAACTCAACTGCCCAAGGCATGTGATCTAGAATTCGTCCTCCAAATTTTTATAATTTACTCAATATCATGTCAGGTAAACTTATCATTAATTTTATTTTTTTAAATTTGAGACAAACTTGGGTCCATATTTGGGCCCGAGATCATCTTTTCCAGCTCTCGGTGGTTGTCGTTATCGAAGAGTGACAAAAAAGAAAACCCTAGAAGATGAAAGCAACAACAGGGAGCAGGGGTGGAGGGGACAGATTCTTAGAAGATATTTTGTTTTAGGGTAATGGGTGAGTGCCACTTCTATGGCTGCTTTTGCTTCCATATTTGATTAGCTAAGTTTACTCATTGGGAGAGACATAACAAATATCTTGAAGGCATATGAAAAAATAATTAATATTACCCCTTTTTTCTGTGTTATCAATTTCAGTTATACCTCACTAATTATCACTAATTCTGGGGACGTGTCCTTTTTCCCTTTATTTTGTAAAAACTTGAAAATTTAAAAGGAGAGTGATTGATGATATTTTCTAATTCCGTCTCTATTCCATTAAGTTTGTTTATTTTTCAAAGTTATATTGTAATAGATGTATTCTCGTGACAATTACATGAAATTGTTGAATGTACCAAGAGATCTCTCTCTTATCCACTAAAAATTTTATAAATAACTTAATCCACAACTAATTTTGTCCATGCAAAATGATAAATGAATAACTCTTAATATGCAGATTCACTTTACTCGAACTTGTGTTTGATTTCAAAAGCTTGTATTTGTTTTTAAAATTTTATTAGGTATTAAAATTGTGATTTTAAGAAAAGTGGAGACATTAAAAAAAATTATAACAAAGCATATTTTTCACAATGAAGCTCAATAAAAAGTATAGATTCAAAACCATCTCCATATATATCTGAATAAAAAAAAAGTTCCATAGAGACAAAAGAGGAGTAAAATTGGCTCTTAAGCCATTTTGTGCCCTTCTTAATTCTCACAATTCTATATAAGTTTTAGAAATAATAAACAATTTAATTCCAAAATATATATTTCTTTTTATTTCTTAAAAACGACAAAAAAACAATGAAAACAAAGAAAAAGTTAAGCCAGCAACGTTATCATCTCCAAATCCAATCATTGTAGGTAGTTTCGGAAAAATAAACATTATTAAGAAAAACACAAAATCCAACTTATTTCAGAAAAAAAAAAACACAAACATAATATCCAACTGGAAAAAAAAAAGGAAAAAATAAAGAAAATACTAAAGTTGTGGCGGGTGAGAACAAATGAGCAATAATAGTTAAGATAGAAATAAATTTTCACTAGTCATTATCTAAGTATTTTTTTAACACGAAATCAGTTTTTTTTTCTTTTCAATAATTTCAGAGATCTGATCATTAAATAAGAAGACAACTTGAGTTTCCCCACGCATACATACAAACATAAAACATGGATTTGCAATCGTATATGGAAGGAAGGAGATAAATAGAGATTTTACAGCCTTTCTAAACAGTAAACAGTAGCCAATTTTTACACTGTTTTCATTTATTTCCTTCATCTACTCCCAAAAAAAAAAATTTAAAAAGAATACTCCAAAAAAATATAAAAAAATTTACAAACCAGAGGAGGCCCACATTATATAACTTCCCCTATTCCACTCCCAAACACAGCCGAACCGAACCGAACCGGAACCCTTCAACAGAAAGCCGCCGTTCTGCACCGGCGGCCGGCCTGTAATCTGAAAGTCCCAATCCCCCGGCGGCCGTCGTTCAGATCCGAGCGCTTCGTCCCGTTGGCCAAAGAGAGAGACGACATGGCCCTGGCGGACACCACTTTTCTGACGAGCATCTTCCACTGGGGGTTGTCCTCCGGCGAGCGCTGCTTGAACTTCCGGCAGAGGGGGACCTTGCAGCAGTCGGAGTGGTCGCAGATGGAGGAGTGGAGCTTCAGAAGCTGCCACATCCGCTTGCAGCGCCCGCATCCGACTCCGTTGTTGCGCTTCTTACACGTGGCGAAGTGCTTGATCAGAAGCTGTAGACCGTGACACGTGGAGTAGTGTGAGCACGGCTCTCGCTCCTTCTTCGGCTCCACGTTGTACGGCCCCACGATGGTGCAACCCTCCGAGCAGATGTGTTCTAAGCACTCCATTGCCTCGTGGAGCTCTACATATAACTTCCTCTCCTTCCTCATCCTCCGATTCCTGTGTTTCCTCTGCCATTTTATTTTTCCCCAATAAATATTTCAGATCCAACAACACTTTTTCTTTTTTTTTTTTTCTTTTTTTTGAGTTCTATAGATATTCTCGTTTTAAATAAGTGGACAGGAAATATGCTTCAGAAAGGCGTCAATGAAATTTTGGGACCACGAAATAGAAGTATATATATAGGTAAAATTAATGGTTTAAAACTTTTCTTTTCCTTATTTGGATGTATAAGGATTTTACTAATATAACCTTTTCGTTCTTATTGCCGAAAATGAATGGTCCAGAGAACTCTGAGGTTATATTGGTAATTGAATCGATAACGAATTTCGTGTTTATAGGTTTGGTTCTTAAAATTAAAAGAAAATGTACGTAAAAACGAGATTTGGGAATTGAAATCACTTTTGATTTTAAATTGAAGAGATAAGAAACAACAGAATTGGTTTGAAATCTGTTAACAAGGATCTAATGTGACAAACAGAGGTTCGTTAAAATAAATTTTTGCCGAGAATCAACGTTTTCGATTATGCAATTTCGGGGAAGACAGAGAAAAATTGGAAAAAGCGTTTACCGATTCGGTCTCGTCGATGAACTGAAGAATATCGAGCTCGAGCCAAGGGTCGTTATCTTGAATGAACTTCCAGCCCTCGGTTTTGTCGACGAATTTAAAGTGATCGGCGACGAATTTCATGCACTTCAGGTAAAGATCCGACGCGTTGCAGAGCCTCGCCAGTTGCAGAACATCCACGACGCTCTCGATCGTCAGCCGTTGAGCCAAATCCTTGGTGCACATCGCCTTAAGCTGCGGCACCATGTAGACGTGCGACAGAGCCAGCATATGGATCCCGTGTTTCTCGAGATGCTCCGCCGTGCACCTGCGTAGAAATCGCAATCGTCGATTTAATTCAGAAATTCAGAAATTCGAATCGAATTCAGATCCGGAGAGAGGCGGATTTCGGAACCTAGAGCTGTAGAGGAACCGAACAAAGGAGACGACAGCATCGGACGGGACTCCAAGAATCGAAATGACCTTCTCCGCATTCCGATTCTTGCTCGGCCGATAGATCACGTGCTCAAGAACCGGCGAAATCGAAGCCTAGGGTTTACAAAGAAACAGATCTCACAAATCTCATTACCG